CGATTTATCTTTTCAGAAATGCACAACGGTAGAGAGACAGGAAAGACAATCCTAAAATGAAACAGAACAGTTCTGCTGATTGTTGCAGTGCTTTGCTTTAGGCATTTTCTGCCTTCATTTTGGACAGGAGCAGCGCTGAATGTAAGCAAAAGCCAGACCGTGGCCCGAGTCAGATGGGGCACTCAATCCATTTGAGCATTGGTATCTTGCTCTTGCACTGCAGTGGGCCAACTCAGTTGTAGATTAGTCTTGAGAAGGTGTTGTGAATAGTGCAAGCGTCCAGAGGACTTGTCTTCCTGAAAGTGGAAGCTTTTGCTGGTGGTTGGAACTGGCAGGGTGCTGGGACTAACCAGAAGTAGTTGAGTAGCACTGGCATGGCTGTTAGGGCTGTTGTCCTTTTATCATTGCAACTGTTTGGGGTAAACAATGTCCCTGAATTGTTTCTTTGGCAAGAAGAGGATTGCAGTCACTTTCATGTTTTCTATAAATAGGAGATTGCTGATCTCTGCAGTGGGAGCAGAATTAAAGCCTGTTTCACCCTGCTGGTGGCCTGACCTGTCTTGATTAACACCTGATAGTCCATTTTAAATGGTAACCACTTTCATGTTAAAATAAAAGGGCGCAAGTGCAGCAGCAGACCTGGAAACAGACCAGTAATTCAGAATAACCAGATCTAGAACTTGGATGAAAAGGTTTTTCTGTGTGAAAACAACCTCCAATAGCTTTTAGACCTGCTGAAGAAGGTCAGCCAAGTTATTAAAGATGCTAACCTTCAGCAAGTTTTATAGAAAGAGGTGCCTGTGGAGAGGAGTGGGAAATTTGGTTTATACACTTGGTGAGGGGACTGTTACATGGAGTTCAGCTCTTACAAGACTCCGGAGAATCCATGCAGGAGTTTGATGTACAACTGCTCCCACAACAGGAACAATTTCTCGTAGTGCTGCACCCTTGTAGATAGGAAGGTGGTTTTAATAAGTCACAAGGCTCTAATCTCCCTTTATGTGAGGTTAAAGCATTGTATAGTGTGTTTCTCTGGTGAACCGTCATGGGCTTTTCTTCATCTCTGACCACATTTTTTGGCTTTTGGCCTACAAGTTGGCAATGGTTTGCTGTTTCTCACTGCTAATGGCAGATGCTCAGTAGCCATAGCCATTTTTGAGAGGGTCTTCCTTAGATCTGTTTGTAGGCTGTAGATCTGAAGCCCCCCATCTTTTTGCTGTAGGGCTTCCACAGATGCTTTCATTTGTTGCAGATCAAATCTCCTTCTGCTTACCTCCTTGTTTACGGCTGCAAAATATCTCGGTGCTAACTACAAGTCTTCCCCTGGGAGAAATGTTTGGGAAAGTACTTGGTGTATTTTAATCTGATAGTTCAGCCCTTGGAAACAAGAAGCTGGTTCCAAACTTGTCCACCTGGTATTTCAGAGATGCTCGCCTGAGAATCTCCCATTTTTGTGGTCTCTGAAATAATCCAGTAAGTTTCTATGCTTTCTGTTCTGTGTACAGCCTTGTAAACATGCATTTATTTATCCCGGAAACATTAAAGGGCTGGATTAGGCAGTGCACAGTTGAAACTCAGCAACAGTAATGGTGTCAAGCTCTAGCAGGCATCCTAATTTCCTCTGAATTGCAGATGTCCACGTACAGTGTTTGCGGCTGCTTACTGGCATTGCCATGCTGAGAAAGAGAGAAGGAAAAAGCAGTATTTTGGTCTTTGATACGAGTGCAGGGGTTCTTCCCTACCTGGGTTTAAAGAACCTTGGTTGGTTGGTTTGTTTTGTTTTTAACTAGCGTAGGCTGCGCAGAGGGAGGTGTGTGAAAGGAGGAGGGAACATGAGGCTTAGAAGAGCATATGGTGAGCGCAGGCCAGGGCGTAAGTTCACTCACAGAAGTATCAGTGCAGTTCATAATAAATGGAGACTGCCTTTCCAAGTCCTTTAAATTCCAGCGCATGTGACCATGGAAACAGCACTGGGTCACTGTGTGTTTGGTAAATCTTTCAAGCACTCCTTATAAACCTAATAAAACAGGCTTTCCAGCTGGTCAGGTAAGAATTTTAAACCCAATTTCCATCCTTGCTTTTGAAGCGGGATTAAGTAGCCATTTTCTAACGGTATAAATTTCGTGTGTGAATTTCTGTGACTATTAACTCCTTAAAATACTTTACTCAGTGAGCTGTTGCACTGAGATATGTTTCCTTAAAATAGACTTAATTGCACTGAAGTGGAATTTCCCAGGAAGCTTGAGCCTTTCAAATCGTACTTGGAAAAAGCTTTCTATTCTCCATAAAGAAAATGTTATCAGTTTTATTTTTCTGTAACTATCTTGAAGCTCTACTTACTGTTAATTTTACGTCCCTCTTGTCTTCTGGATTGAAAAAATAGGGCCAGCTTTCTTGCTTATGACATTTGGAGATTTCGTAGGCACCGTGAGCCAAGAGGCTGATTTTTCCCATCAAGCAGCCCTTATGGTGTAAACAGCTCATGGGTCAGAAGAGCTTAAGTGATGCGCTTACCTGGAGTTAAGCCATCACTCTGGGATTTTGACTCTGTAGTTGTTTGCTGAACAAAACAGGGTAAGGACTAGTTACTATAAAATGAGATGAGTGTTAAAGCATAGTAAGATGAGATTTATTTTTTTCTTGATAATACTTTCTTCTAAGCCTTGGATGTCTAAAGTCGAATAGCATGTACCGATATCAAAATTCTAAATTTTTGTCTTTTTTTTTTTTTTAAAGGAGCTTGCTATTAGTTGGGAGAACTTTGAATCTTTCCAGGAAAGGTTTGAACTACAAAAGTGAGGAAATGCACCTTTATTAGTAGTTTTGCTTTCATCAAATTTCACTGCAGGTTATCAAGGGCACTTGCATGAAACCGGGATAGAGCTTTAACATCAGATCATTTCCCACTCCACCCTCTTGTTTCAAGGTACCTGCCGGTAGTGCCTCTATCGTGGCACTGCACTGAGTCTGCACTCAAAGTGATTTACAGATCTGCTAGGGAAAATGCTTTGCGGAAAATCAGCACCTTCTGGAGGAAGAGAGAACGTCACTGTGCTAGTACCTCTGTTAGAGAGCAACACGGAGAAATGCCATGTGGGCAGGATCCTCTGCATGTCTCCTCCCTTTCTGATGCAGTATAAATACCTTCAATGACACTGAATTTAATCTAGCTGCAATGCCCGCTGCGCAAAGTGTGCATCTTACTGATTCTGTGGTCAGGTGAGTATTTGTTTACATGGAAAGAGTTGGCAGTTTTCAAACAGCAGAGTATGACCACACTGTTTCTGTCCTCTTATGAAGATCTCTAACTTTTGGATCAGCTGAGGAAACATACTGTTCCCTGCATCCCTTTGATGTAATTCCCAAACACATACCCACTTGTGTACATATGCAGACCAGTGGTTGCAAGCCGTGTGAAGTCTGGCAGGAGGGATAGACACGGGGTAACCTGCAGGGTAGGTCTGAATTTCCAGCCTCCAGCAGAGCTCTGGTTTCAGAAATCTGCAGGGCGGCTGTGTTGGGTCAGCTGGCGGTAGCCCAGTGTTAAATAGCTTGTTTGTGCTGGGCTGGATGTAGTTTCCTGCAAGCTTGTCTGTGCTCTCTGGCTAATTGTGCTTCCTCATCCTACTTCGTGTTTGATAACGCTTCCTCTGGCTTTTGCTGTGGAAGTCTGCAGGAACTTTGCCACTGACCTCTGCATCTTTTAATGAAGGGCAGTGTGTTTGTTCTGCCTTCTGCCCACTCTTACCTTTATTGAACTTGCTGCTTACCCGAAGCAATGTTATGCAGAACGTGTATTCCCCGTAGGCGGGCTGACAGTAAGCTTTGTGCATGCTTTATCATCGTGTTCGTGTACCACAGGTGTATTTATAGACAGGAGGAGGCTGAATACATTCAGGGAAACTTCTGCTTTTCTCTTATATGAAAAATGAATTCTTGGTTTGCAGCAGGTTAGCAACATTAGGTAGTGGTATTTGGCAGCCACAGTAGATTGTTAATTCAAGGAAGCTCGACTGAGGATAAGTTTCATATTTAATGATTTGATGAGGGTCTTCACAGATACACTTTTGTGTCAAATATCTGGCAGGTGTTTGGTATTGCAAAGGAAAGCTGGTGTTTGATCTGAGGTATAGATGTCTTTGATGTTAGGGAAGGTAGTTTTCTGAGATCTAACGGGGTCACTGCAGCAGGGTGTTTCTTGTTGCTGATGAGTTTCTGGGATCTCCCTCCTCTCATTTCCTCTCTCTGGTCTTCTTCAAGGATTTCTTGCACTGAGATGTTAGTACTTGCTTTTATTTTTTTAAGGTTCTTAGAAGTTCAGCATTGACTTCCTGAAAATGAAATGAGAGAATCTCATTTTCTGCTTCAAAGCTGCCTTTAAGATCTCTGGATTGCTTTGTTTTCAGAGTGTTCTGTAAGCAATCAAAGGCATTTGAGCATGTAACAGACCCATCTCAATCTGATCTGCTTTCAAGTGTAACCATATTTGTACATGCTGATGCCTGTTTTATGTCTCCATTTCATTCTTTTTAAAGTCTGTGACCTTTTCTTTAGGATCCTAATAAGCAGTTTTCCCTGTTGGATACCTCAGTGAGAGTAGATAATTACTACACACAATCATGATTTGATCTAAACGGGCATACAATCCCAGCTGGAATGAGTATGTCTTCCACATTTCACACTC